TAATATTGGTTAACAGCGGCGGATCCAGAAATTTAATAACGGGGTGGGGACGCAGTAGAGGGCAGGGGGTCTGCGAACTGCATTGAACCCCCCCCCCCCCAGTGGGTCCAGAGCAAAGCACTGGTGGGAGTCCGGGGGTAAAGCCCCCGGAAACTGACGAATTCTAACAAATAAGAGGTGTTATTTCTCTTGATTTTAGGATAATACAAACAAAATTTAAAAAAAAATAATAATGGGGGCGCACCGGCGCTGGATCCGCCTTTGGTTAAGTATTCTTTCTGAGTAAATTGACTGGGTATATATATATAGAAATTCCTACTATATAACACAATTATATTCAGTAATGACAGATGCAGATCATTGTTTGTTTGTTTGTTGTTTAATTACCTCTCGAGATCTTTTTACTTATACAGAGACGCCACCACTTGTCGATGGAGGGCTGCAAATTTATAGACCTATACTCAGCACTTAGGGCCATTGACTCTAGAGAAAACGCTATAACCACTGCGCCACGCGGGCGACCATGACAGATAGTAGAAAAAACATTATTATAGCTGACCTTGTGAGACTAGACATAGGGATCCTTTTTACATGTTTATAAAAATCTTGATTTTCTCATATAGCCTGCTACACATGGTGGATTATTTCTGCCACCTCTTATTGGACGTCTATTTCAGATACCACCGTATTTACCTATAAATTTTGCAATCTCTTTTAAAATAATGTTCGTTTAAACACGTTTAAATAGCCTATGCCTAACTTTTTCATATGAAGTAGAATTTATTCAAAAACTTGTACATGAGAAGAAGACGCCTTCAGATATATCGACAACGTATTATCAAGTTACTTCCAATCATATGTCGACTCGATATATCCCGGTGAAGTTGAAATAAAAGATACTACGGAGTCTGTCACATCTGTTTCATATTTAGATATTTTACTGTCTAGAAAAAGACGTTAATGGTAACCTAACAACAAAACTCTACGATAACCATGATGACTTTCACGTTTCTATCGTCAACTTCCCTTTAGTATATGTAGCAATATATCTTTATCACCTGTATATGGGATTTATATCTCCCAGTTGACTCGATACGCAAGAGCATGCTCCACGTATGAACAATTTCTAACACAAGGCAAGCTATTAACAAACAAGTTGGTGAAACAAGGATATCATCATTTCGCACTTTCTATGGTCGAATCAATGATCTTGTCAGCAAATACAATTTATCATTAAGTCGAATGCTGACTGATATTTTTCAAAGTAATTGTTAGGTCTTTATTTTAAACACTGAATTGTCAACGGATGTTACCGTTTGTCCGATCATGAGAATGAGCACACGTTGACAGGGGATGCTCACTCCTCCATGGCACCTGACCCCACCTCTGATGTTTTAAAAGGTCAATGTTTGCTCTGACGTTATATGGATATTTGTATATGGACTTTTAAGCTTGGTTACTGTTCGTTATCTTCATATTTCTTTGTAGAATATTGTCATTAGAATATTTCAGAGCGTTACACACAGATTAACAAAATTAGGGGGGGGGGGGGGTCATGACAACTATATGACCAAAAAACAAAATTTGGCTTTCAAGCTGAGGTAAACACAGAAAGAAGAATACAGTACTTCAAATCATACGACAATTACTGTACTAGTGCTCAAATTTACAATTTGTTGTAGTCTGGCTGGATTGACAATATTAATTGACCGACATTTTGTTCACAAATGAGGGAAATAATTAACAGAATATAGTATCCTTAAGCACTGTAATCCATTACTGTTTTAAATATGGATACACTTATTGATATTGATCCACCTCTAGATCCAGTATTAACAATGCTTGGCTCTGAAAAAAAACCTCTTAATGACATAATTTTCAAACATCCATCATGCTCTTATTTCTTGTTGCATTATGCGAAAATATTTCGATACACATAATGATTTTTTTATTCAGCTCTCCCCATGCAAAACTGATTATGTATGACAAATGGAATTCAATGCCTAATTTTTTGTTTAAAAGGAATGAACTATATATATCAGACAAACATAAAAAGAAAAAAGTTTCAGTTTTACCTTAGTTATCAATATTGATCAATTATGAATTTACTTCACGTATGTGTCGATGTAAATAGCAGACTTAACTTATACAATCAGCTATTAACACAGTCGGATACTGTCTACTGTCCCTCCACAACACCCCCAAATATACAAACCTCAGATATTTGTAGTTGTTTCCCAAAATAATCTTTCTATAACATATTTGTGATGAATTACCTACTAAAAGGCATAAAACAAAATTCATAAAAATTCCCTCCACATAGAAATGACTTTAATTATAAGATATTTGTTTTGTTATTTTTTGGGCTTTTATAATGTCTTCATAAACATCGTAAAGATGTCATAGAAAGGTAATTCATGAAGAAAACTGTTGAAATCTGGATCTGTATTTGGGGATGATTGGGGGATCAAGATACAATGTTGTAAATGAGAAATTTATCATGAAGTTATGATTAGGCGAAAAAATAAATCTTAAATTGAAAAATTATGGTAAAGAAAATTAAACTATTCATTGCAAGATTGCATTGCATTTATTTATTTATTATTTTTTCGTTGTTCTCAATTTGAAAGTATACCCCTATGTTTGTTAGGACACCATGAACCTTTATATGTATATTGATGAAAAAAAAATCAATCCTTTTTTTGGGGGAGGGGGGGGGGTATACAGGTGCAAATCTGTCCAGTTTAAATCATAATTATTAAAATGACTGGCTTTTTAATCCATGAAAAAGGTGAAGATAACAGTGATCGATCTTAAAAAAATCTATAAACAATACAAATCTGTGAAAAGGGCATGAAAATTTTGGAGGTGGGATCGGGTGCCCAGGAGGAGTAAGCATCCTCATTTAAAGGCAGAGATTTTTTACCGGGTGGTAAATTCCAGGTGAGGGAGGGGCTTATTTTGTACAGGTGTGAATGCCTTGAGGACTATTAATCTACCTGTGGCCATTTTTCTCCTAATACCTAAATAACCGGAAGTGATTTAATCACAAAAATACCCAAGATGTCGAACTTTACCCCAGTTGGGATTCACATAAAAAAAAAAAGAGTTTTATATGCTAGCATTTGTGTTAAATAAAAAAAATTACCTGGGATCCCATTTATAATATATAAAAATAGAGCTGTACATGTTAGCTCCAATTTTTTTTTTTAATATAGGTATATTCTAACTTTTGTCACATGTCTAAACATGCTAAAAGAAAAGTGTTGCTTATAAAGCATTATCCTAATCGTGAAGCAAGATAACTATGTAATCATGATTTTTAGAAAAAAATTTTAATTTAATAATATGACATTTCTACTTTATGTTTAGCAAATCCAAAATCAAATGTTCTCTCAATTCAAGTTTGAATACTGAATCGAATACACTGTAAATCGAAATTTATTTTGAAAAAAAAAAATATTATACCAAAATTTGACATATTATCATGAAGAAAAATTATAATTATTTCAAATAATCAAGCTTAAAATTTCCAATAGTGATACAGCTTCTTTATACCATGTGCGGTAAATATCAAAGGACCAAAAGTTAATGTGAAGATCACCACGACTGCCAACAAGGTGTAAAGGGTATTCATGTTCACAGGGACTAACAAGTAAATGTCAATCAAGTTCTAGCACCCAATGATGGACCTTAATGCACTTGATTGAAAGAGGTACACAGACCAGATATTTTTGAAGGTGGTGCTTAAAATCTCTGTCTTTAAGATTGGTTAAATTCTAAACTGGTTTTATTGAAATCTTTTGATTTGTTTTTTTACAGTTATAAGAATCTAAACAAGATGTGTTTGTGAAACACTGATGCCCCCATATGGCAGCTTATGGCGAAGGTTAAAATTTCTCAAATGCAAGTCAAAATCCAGGCCAAAAGATAAAAAATGTTAAATATGAAAGCCCTAGCTGCAACTGTTCAAAAGTTATGGCGAAGGTTAATTTTTTTCAAAAGTAAGTAAAACATCAAGGTCAAGGTTAAAGTTGTTGGTATCCAAAGGAAGGTCTTGTCACAAGGATTACATATGTAAAGTATGAAAGCCCTAGCACCAACCATTCAAAAGTTATGGTCAAGGTTAAAGTTTTTCGAAAGTAGGTCAAACTCCTAAGTCAAGGTCAAAGGGTCAAAGTGGTTGGTATCCAAAGGAAGGTCTTGTCACAAGGATTACATATGTGAAGTATGAAAGCCCTAGCACCAACCATTCAAAAATTATGGCCAAGGTTAAAGTTTTTCGAAAGTAGGTCAAACTCCTAAGTCAAGGTCAAAGGGTCAAAGTGGTTGGTATCCAAAGGAAGGTGATGTCACAAGGATTACATATGTGAAGTATGAAAGCCCTAGCTCTAACCGTACAAAAGTTATGGCCAAGGTTAAAGTTTTTCAGAAGTAGGTCAAATTCCAAGGTCAAAGGGTCAAAGAGGCTGATATCCAGAGGAAGGTCTTGTCACAAGGAATACACATGTGAAGTTTGAAACCCCAAGCACCAACTGTTCAAAAGTTATGGCCAAGGTTAAAGTTTTACAAAAGTGGGTCAACCTCCAAGGTCAAGGTCAAAAGGTCAAATATGATGGTACCCAAAGAAAGGTCTTGTCACAAGGAATACACATGTGAAATATGAAAGTCATAGCTCCAACCAATCAAAAGTTATGGGCAAGGTTAAAGTTGACAACAGACAGACAGACAAACAGATAAACAGACAAACAGACAGACAGGACAAAAACAATATACCCTCGGGATCTTTCGATCCGGGGGCATAAAAAGTTTCAGCTGTGTGCAGGTGAAGCCTGGGAATGCTGCAAATCCTGTCTAAAAATAACACAGAGATTACAGAACCAATCATTCCCTAAATGTCTATCACTAGGAAACTTCCCATCATGCAAAATAATGAAAACATTTGATATTTCTCAGATAAAATTTATTTATTTTTATGTACATTAAATATTCAATAAATTTCATACAATGTATACAATTCTATAGAGCACTTTATGGCTTCCTCAATACAGATTTATAAAGATTTATGCCTGTGTCAATATACAACACTATAATGATATCTGTGTTTAAAGTGAGACTTTATAATTCATGATATCAATGACCTTGACCTAGCAAAGTCATAGACATTTTTAGGATTTGAACCTTGACCTTAGGTTTCCCCCAATTTAAGCCTTGACCCTAGACTGTCCTGGGGGTTGCTGGCAGATTTTTGAGCTAAATATTGTGAGTTCCTCTAAATGTTTTGTAGGTATCTTATTCATAACATATGCTGTGTCCTGGTCAAACAGAGGATAGATGGTGATGCTTAGGGCTGGGCGTGAACTTTGGAACCTACAGTGAAAGAAAAAAAGGTTTAATAAGAAAGATGAATTTGAAACAAACTACCTAAACAATCATGAATTGTATGTTTACTTATTTAAGAATTTAGTGCTAATATAAGCACAATAACAAACTAATACAGTAAAACTTGTCTAATCCGGCGACCAGTGGTTCCAAAATTTTTGGCCGGATTAGACAACATCCGGATTGGAGAAAATTGAACCGTTATAGCAAGTAAAAAATTACATAGATATTTAAACAAAGAGTGGTAAATAAATACTTGATCAAATGTGTCACTTTTTACGTTTCACTTGAAAAAACAGTCTATTTCGTTTGTTTTGAACTCTGTTTTTTTTCTTCAAATTTTCATTTCTGTTTAAGTTTTTTATTCAGGAACAAAATATAATATCTCTTGGTCATTTATTATTAAATTAAAATTTGAAAATCGTTAAATGTTTTACACATATAAATATTATTTTGTTCGGGACTGATTCCTAATTCATTTATTTCTTTTAAAATTAATATGTTTGAATATTTTGACACAGTATTTGTTAATTTCAAATGTTATAATGAATATTGGACCAAAATCTTCTGTCGTTATGGTCGTTGTAAACTAGCGACGCAAAGGGAAGTAATTCGAATTGCATGTCATGCATGCAAAACGAAAGTAGAAAGGAGGTCATGAATAAGTCTCAAGTTCTTCTACGGACAGTTATGAGCAGTTAGTTCTTTAAATAGCAGCCGGTTTACAGAATAGGCAAGATCCAGATTGAACAACATTTATTAAACATCAATTAGGCCATTCCAAGTTTTTTCTATGTTTAGCGTCCGCGTGCGCCTTGGTTTTTGGCATCCCATATCAGAAAAAACAAACAAAATCAAGTGTCCTAAAATTGATTATTTTGGTCAAAATTTTGAAAATTTGTCAGGTTCTTTAAATATTTCTCACTAGTATGTCATATTATGTATATTTTAAGCATTTAATACCTTAATTTTACCAAACAGAAGATATTTCTATGAGAAAAATATTTATTGATTGATGGTTTGTTGTTTTATGTCCCATTCGAGAATTTTTCACTCATATAGAGATGTCACCATATACCGGTGAAGGGCTTCAAATTTTGACCTTTACTCGGCACTCAGGGCCATTGAGCAGTGAGGGATCTTTATCGTGCCAACGCCTGCCGTGACACGGGACCTCGGTTTTAAGGTCTCATCCGAAGGACCCGTAACTTTCACTTCAAAGTCCCGAGCGCATGGCGAAGGAACAGTTGCTACCCATTTTTTATCGACTTAGGTCAGTCAGGGGTGAGACTGAAATCCGTCATTTTTAAAATGACGATTTTAAGCCATAAAATAACATTTTTATTATGACTTAAACTCGTCATTTTTAAGAAAATGACGAAAAACAGTCATAAAAATTTAGAGTGTTTATAGAATACAGTTACCTCTCTTTGAAAAATGTTAGATCCACCAACCGAAAAAAGGACAAAAAACATCGTAAACGCACTTCATTTCTCTAATACAGTTGACTACAATACTGGTTATGTTGACAGTATAAATTTCCCAAGCAAAAATAAGAGTGGAAGAGTTATTTGTCAATTTATTTGCATTAAATAGGAAAGAAGACGAAAATGATGATATTCCGTCTTTTTTCAAAATGGAGGGTCTGGGCGCACTGAAATATCTCGCTTGTTTTACGGGGCGCACTACTTTTTTATGGCTTTAACTTTTTGTCCAGACTTTTCTCTACAAGTACGTATTCTTCCAGACGGTGTACTATAAGTTTTTATAGGGCTAAAATCCACGTAAAAATGGCGAATTAGTTCTACCAAAATTCGACATTTTACCGCTAAATAATAACTTTCACCTTCCATGTTGATGTTCTAACGCACGTGGTCGGCAGTAGTTAGTGACCCGGATGAAATGAAACTTGCGTAAACACTCTTCTTTCAGCGGTGAATTCAAATTTCGCTTTTATGTTACCAGGATAGAAGAATTAAGTTGAAAAAGAAAATATGACGATAGTAAGTCATATTGACAAAAATGACGAAAATACGTACTTAGTAAATATGACGATTATCCATCATTTTTCAAAAATGACAGATTTCAGTCTCACCCCTGACTGTAGGTCAGTCGCGGCCGAGATTCGAACTTGCTACCTCCCGATCACAGAGCGAGCGCTCTACCGACTGAGCTACCATGAACGATATGAGAAAAATAGATTCATGAAAGAAAAATACTTTGAATGATGTCATCTTTAATACTGTAAAGTCTGTGTTTTATTTTTTGGCTTGTGTGTTTTTTGCAAATAGGTAGGTAGGTTTTTGAAAGATGGGTGGACACTAAACAGAGAAAAAACTTGGAATGGCCTTACAAAGAAAATTCATGGGACTAAAAAATTAAGCTGGACTGAACAACATGCCTGAATGCACAACATCCGGATTCAACAAGTTTTACTGTCGTTTAAATTTCTTAAATTTTTTAATTTAATTTTTAGACATGGTCTGGGTTGAGTCTTGGACTGTTGTTATTGGCAACTTACATGTCTTTACGGGTCTTTTTGATTTTTTTTTTTACACATGGTCTGGGTAGAGTCTTGGATTAATGTTATTAGTAATTTACATGTCTTTGAGGGTCTTTCTGAGTTTTTTACACATGGTCTGGGTGAAGTCATGAACTACTGTTATTAGTAATTTACGTCTTTGAGGGTCTTTTTGAAATTTTTTTTTTACACATGGTCTGGGTAGAGTCTTGGATTAATGTTATTAGTAATTTACATGTCTTTGAGGGTCTTTTTGAGTTTTTTACACATAGTCTGGGTCGAGTTTTGGACTATTGTTATTAGTAACTTAAATGTCTTTAAGGGTCTTTTTGAGTTTTTTCTACACATAGTCTGGGTCGAGTTTTGGACTATTGTTATTAGTAACTTACATGTCTTTGAGGGTCTTTTTGAGTTTTTTACACATGGTCTGGGTTGAGTCTGTGAAAAGCTGTAGCACCATCAAGTGAGGAAGCTTCAAAAAACAGGAATTATAGTAATGACAATTTCATAACACTGAACTCAAGCATGGCAAAAAAAAAAAAATTCAGTCTTAACTGTTTATCCTTATACATATATGTTTTACTATCTTTTTTCACTAAATTATGTATAAAGGTTTACCTAAATGTTGATATTTTTTCCGAGTTCCAGATAAGCGTAAACATTACTAAAACCACACAACTGTCTGAGTTTGTTTTGAGCCTGCCCTTTTGACATTAGGTTTGTTTTCGTGTCTGTTCATACAGAATGTCTTTAGAATGTGACTTACATTTGAAAGTCTCTTATTGTAGCTATTCAAATGTGTACAAACCTTAGAGTATCTTTTAAGCATGGCTTGTATGTACTGGTACTTTTGACATGTCACTGCTGCTTATAGATGTACAATTTCTTTTGAGCATGCCTTACATTTGATATTAGGTTTATAACTGCAGCTGATCACACACGTGAAACCCTTAGCCTTTCTTTTAAGGATGCCTTACTTTTGACATTAGGTATATAATTGAGGCTGTCCATAAATAGGAAACCCCTTCTTTTGAGCCTTACTTTTGACATAAGGTCTGTCACAGCAGCTGGGTCCACACTGCCATTTTTAGAAACGACACAGAATCTCTGAAGAGACTGACACTTCACCGCTGATCGACAAAACAGCTGGTCTATGGACAGGTAGGCATGTTCTATTCTGTAGTAGACAAAAAGATATTTGTTTTTATTATATACCCAACTGTTTGTCACTCAGTTTTACTGTTGAATTTATGCAATCACGTGACAGTGTGATCCGACGTTCTGGATCACCACAGTGTGGTTTTCTGAATCCATATCACCCCTCTCTGAAACTGATGACGTAGTACACAGATAAATGACATTTTTATTCTCGCGCATCAAAAAGTTCCTTGACAAAATGGTTTGTTTAATGTATAAAAGTTATGTAATTGACCAAAAATTTTCTTTTTATTACATTTTGCTAGTTGTAAAGGGGTATATAATAAATTTATCATTATAACAGTAACTTGATCCAAGGAGCTCGTTGACAGGCGCGGATCATCAGATCAAACTCGACGCTTCGCGTCTCGTTTGATCTGATGATCCGCGCCTGTCAACTTGACGTGATACGGCTCTTCGGATCAAGTTACTGTTATAATAATATATATTTAACTCATCCACAAGACAGACTTTTTCTAATACTGCAGTTTCTATACAATTGGGGGGTCACACTGGAGAGATCTGAGATCAATGAAAAGAAGTTACTCAATTGGAATCAAAGACGTTAAATTCCCAATTATATTTATTAAATGAGATGACTTACTTGAGATCAATGGTAGGAGTTACTCACCTGAGATCATTGAGAAGTAATTCTCAACTGAGATGAATGAGATGACTCACCTGAGATCAATAAGAGAGGTAAAATACTGAAAAGCTTGGCACAGCTGGTTTGTGTAGATACAATGAGCTGTTAGGCCTAGGTAGGACAGGTGAAGTTGTTTCAGATTAGGGCATTGTTTGGCTATGTCTGACAGAAAGGTTCCACTAATTATACCTGAAACACAAATTACATATCTGATACACCCAAAGTACAACCAGCTAGAGTCACTAACCTCACAGTTTCATCAACAGAAAATCCTATCTTTTTTTCACAGTCTGCATAACTTGTATAGGTGAACAATGAACAAATTTTTTCAAGTTCAAAACAACTGAATATTTACCATAGTTACATGTATAAATATTTAATAAAAATATACCTGGTAGTCCAGCCAGCTGGAGATACTGTAGATTAGATAACCTTCCTAAATATGACAGCTCTGTATCTGTCAAGGCATACGATTCCACGCTACAATAAACAATAGTTGAATAGATAACCTTTCTAAATATGACAGCTCTGTATCCAGTAAAGCATTCCTCTCAAACGTAAAAATATGTGCAGTAAAACTTGTCTAATCCAGACACCTACTGGATCCATAGGAATTGGCTGTATAAAACAACATTCCGGGTTAAATTTTAAACAATAAAATTTACTAAAAGGGACTTAAAGTTTACATCTTATGCGGCAAAATTTTGGAATACACAACATCCAGATTAGACAAGTTTCACTCTACATAATATCCAGGTGACTTGTGACTACTTCTTACAACATAATATTACACACAACCTCAATCACTTGTGTTGTCACATAACTCATTTGCTTTATGGAAACATCTCATCTTCACAAATAGGGATTCACATCCACAATTTTTCTCTCTATCTTACCATGGTATGTAGACACAGGGTTTTGGAGCCAGTCCTATTGAGCCCCTGTGTATAATGGGTCGTACCAGCCCCGCACTGAGGAGTTCTAGGTGTGAGATTAAGGGACAAGCTTCTGTCAGTGTCTGTAGTCCAGTCTTCCACTGAGGGGGGATCTCAACTGCCTCCGTAGGGTCAAGGTCAATGTGTGAAGAGGTTGTGGCTACAGCCTGTACAGAAAAAATAGATCATTGTCAAAGCTAGCTGATAAAAATTCGCTGAAATAACTTCAAGTAGGAAAAAAGCCATTTCATTGCTTAAATTTTGATCAGATTTGTGAAAATGATCTTCATAAATAACAAAACCAGTGCCTGTATCATACATATATATAACAATATGATGCTGTCTTCTGGTTTTATAATTTCTCATATTTAAATGTACAGGTAACTTCAAAATTTATTACACATCTTGAATATAAAATGGGACTAGTGTGCACAATGCAGTTTATAAAAGGCATATCAGTGATCTTAAGACTATAAAAAGCATATTTATGTGCATGATATTGACTATGAATTTTCTGCTAAACTACTCTTTAATGATCTAAAGGTAAAATCTAAAGAATTGTGATGGTTTGTATAAACTCTCATCAACCTGACTAGAGTTCCCTGAGAGAGCTATTCTCCTCTTCTTGGCATACTGGACAAGGACAGTTGATGCTGCATGCTTTTTTCCAGACTGAGACTGACCTTGACCTTTCTCTGTATCTTTGGAGTCCGAATCTTGTAATCGTAGGCAGCATGGAGACACCGCCAGAGATTTCAGACCTAGATCCAACAAAAACAAAAGTACAAGAACTGGCATGAACTACTGTATTACTTAATAGCAGGGTTGTCCCTAAGACCCAGGGGCTGTGGAAATTTCCCCACCTATAATGATGTAATCCCCCAGTTATTCTGGTATTCCCCCACAACCCCATTAGTGGAAAACCCAAACCCCCTTCTACTTTTTCAATATCCCCTACTATTTCAGTTCTTAGGGACAACCCTGTAACAGAGTACTTTTGTATATATGTAACTGTCAATTAGGCAAAGATATCTAAGAGACACTGATTTGTTGACTGAGAAATGCTTTAAGACAATCATTATACCTACCAGCAAGCACTGTGACAAACCTTTAGGAGACCCTATTTTGAAGGAAGTATGAGAAATCTACTTTAGTTGTTACACATACCTGAAAGCGAGGCAAGTGCAGTGACAAACGTTTTGGAGACGTTGATTTGGTGGATGTGAATGTTGCTGATATTTAGATGAACCAGCTTATGACACATACTGACCAAACTTGTGCAGCCCTCAATGTCAAAATTCTGTTTCAGTAAAAATAAAAATAAACATGGTTTCAACATTGATTTGTTGTTTCAATAAATGAAATAACAGGAAGTGTTTGTCTGGGACCACAGTAATATATGAATGAATCAATTTTACACTGATAAATTAAAACAATTCAATTCAGACAGTTTAGATTTGAAAAATAAAATGTTATCAAAATTATAATTGGGCTGATATTAGTTGCTTGTCTATCATAATGTAGTAAGTTATAAGAAATGAGAAGTTTGTGTTTATACTGTTAACAGGTTAATCCTTTTAGCATGCAAAATTAAAAAACTCTGTTTTAATATGATGAGTCTCTGACTTGCAATTAGTCTGTGGATTTCAAGAATCTTTGACTTATGATGAGTTTCTGACTTAGAATGAGTCTCTGCATTTCAAGAATCTTTGACTCATGATGAGTTCCTGACTTACAATGAATCTGTGGGTTTCAATGTTTCAAGAATCTTTGACTTACAATGTGTTTGTGGATTTCAAGAATCTTTGACTTAGGATGAGTCTCTGACTTACAATAAGTCTGTGGATTTCAAGAATCTTCGACTTATAATGAGTTTCTGACTTATAATGAGTCTGTGGGTTTCAAGGATCTTTGACTTATTATGAGTTTTCATTTTTCAACTTACAATGAGTCTGTGGATTTCAAGAATCTTCGACTTATGATGAGTCTCTGACTTACAATGAGTCTGTGGGTTTCAAGGATCTTTGACTTATGATGAGTCTCTGACTTATAATGAGTCTGTGGGTTTCAAGAATCTTTGACTTATGATGAGTTTCTGACTTACGTGTAGAGGGGTTTCTGTCTGGTCTGCTACAGCAGAATGGAGGTACACCAACTGACTATTCTTCAAATTTAAACTCTGAAGATTTGGACAAACGTGACCAAGTGTAGCAAGATTCATCCCAACTTCCCGGCTGTCAGTGTGCGAGATATTCAGATAAACAAGGCTGCTCTTCACTACACCGGGATCAAAGATTGTTGGAAATATATTCTTCAATGATATGTTGGACAAGTCCAAATATTCTAAGTCATCTTGGGAAATCCAAAAGTTCTTCCAGAAGTCTGTATTTCTTTCAGAACTGAAATTTGCAGAGGGATTAAGGACAGTTTTTAATTTTAAATGTAGCTTTGCTACAGACATCAGGGTCCCATAGTAGAATATTCTAGCAGCTGGGTCAATGGCATAATTTAGAGACAAATGTTTTAAATTTTTGAGGTTGCTAACTTTAACAACATTAGGTTGAAGAAGGAGTTTAGGCAACCCACATCCAAGATTAGGGTGCCCCATCACATGAAGAGAGGTCAACTCCCTACAATGTTCTATAAAAGAGTTCTTCTTTTGTATAAACTGCACTGATATGGACGGTTCAGTCCGAGGGGTAATACCCACTTTAAAATGAATTGTTAAATGCTTTATATTGCACATTGTCCTTTGGGCCGACTCAGAAACATTCAGATTGTTGTCGAATTCATCCACACTGGCAACTGTGAATGCTAGTGCCTCTAACTTGGATATAGATGACAATATCTTACAAAGCTGTTTTGTTGATATACTGACATCCAACAGATACAGTTTAGTTAAGTTTTTACACTTGAGTACGGCAGTTTCCACACATCGCCCTGTTAACCAGTAACAGTGGTTCAGGCTCAGGCTTTCTATCAGTGAACAGTTACATTTGATGTACTCTGTAAATGCTGAAGATGTGGTCTTGTAGCACTGCTCAAAATCTGAATGTCTGCAAAAATAAAGCTCAAAATGTACAATAAATTTAACACTTCACAATTAGTTCGCCAAGTTGCTGTAAAATTTTGTTCTAAAAATTTTTAAATCACATATAACCTTTATAATCACTTTGCGAGTTTACAGTAAATTAGTGTGAAACGATAACGTAGAAGAGAATCATGGACCCGATTTTCGTCAAGCCCAAGCCCATGACTGAAATAGATAGAATTATCAAATTCTTCAACATGTTTTATCAATCCAACATTTTAGCTGTCTTTTGGAGATATAAATTGAGAAAAACGAGTCACGTTCTTGACATGCACTATCCAAAAGAATGGCCTCACCTGACTAGACTTCTGTCGAATGCTAGCCGCCTAAATCGCGTGCTGACATGGTAAATCGTACAAAGGTCTTCCGTTGAAACATTCTTAAAAATTCTGATGATTAAATCGTCTGGAAGACAGTCAAAATTCGTCTCCTCCATCCCAGCATTATCAGAATTCCATTATCATCAGAATGAAAGACATACCGGAAGTGCATGAAATAGTAAAATCTAAATTGTACAGGGTCAATGACATATCCGGAAAAAATATAGATAATAGGCTTACCGGATTTAACCCAAGTGCCAGTTTAAAACATTTACCTAAAGCACTCAACAACTTATTCTTAACAGCTGTTCACTGTAAAGTTATATAATTTTCTTTCTTTATAGAGGCTAGAAGTTTTTCACTGCATGTATTTATACTGTTTTCCAATATAAACCTTGTTGCAAATATCCAACATTCTTGTTACACAAACAATTCCAAATATCTTGCATTTCCTGATTGGTCAGTGATTTGTTTCTGTAAAACTAGAAAAGAACTGTCGTCTGCTTTCTGGGGATGACGAGGGGTGGGGTTGGAGGAGGGTCTAGGAATAACATGTATATAACCCTCTCCTAAATAATCCAGAATTTTTTTTAATACAATTCATTACAAATGATTTTGGGCGGTTCTGGTTCAAATATCAAATAAACAAAATTTAACATTACTTTAAAGAGATAATTAAATTTTTCCAAAAATGATACTTATTTTCTAAGAGGTGCGTTACATTCCACATATCTAAATAAAATATATATGCAGAAGCTAGATCTTCTCACTGCAACAGTCAAACCTCTGGCTATATTATCGATCTTCTCATACTAGCCAAGCATGCCTTAGGTGCATCAAATAATGTTATTCCTAATGTGCACTTCATGATCACCAGTGATACTCCATATTTTAGTACATTCCATGACAAACCATGAAAAAAAAGATTTTTTTTCCCCAATTTATTACAAATTATTCTATGTAACACACAAGAAACTTTGTAAATATATCTAAAAAAGGAATGCATCACTCTATAAAATATATACTCAGTCTGGCATTATTTATAATTATAAAATATACCAGTAGATTATAGTGACTTTAAAAATTCATAAAAAAGAATTAACATTTACGAATCACATTCGTACATGTTGTGTCAGTTGGTACACAAACAAAAAGTATGTCATTATCAAACTATTAAAAAAGTATATCTGATAACATGAATAATAAATAGGAAATTAAAAAAGTAAAGAATATTCTAATACTGATAACAAGAAAATATAGCATTTTAAAATCACAGTCATACTTAAGAAAGAAATTAAAAAATGAAGAATTAATTACAGAAAAATGTTATAAAATCACAGTCACACATGTATTACTAAGTTAAGGGGAAAAAAAACAAGCAAAGAATATTTGTAAAATTGTCATTTTAAAGTATTGAGAACTACTTCATTTCATTTTCGTAAAGTTGTCAAAGGTTCCAGTTGACAGGATCTTTCTTAAATTTCTTTAGTTCACTGTTGGCCTTTGAGAAACACTGACAATTGATGAATTTTCCAAATGACAGAGGTGAAGGATGGGCAGTTTTAATCACAGCATGTTTCTTCTGGTTGATCAGTTTCTCTTTCTTATGGGCAAACCCTCCCCACAAGATAAAGATGACCCCTGCACACTCCTCACTGACAAGGTGTATGATGGCATCTGTCAGTTTCTGCCAGCCGTATTTAGCATGGGAGTTAGGCTGATGTGCACTACAACAAATACAAAGACGTCTTCCCTAATATTGCATTATAATTGAAATTGTTTTGTAAAACAGTTTATCACATGATCACTTTACATCTTGACAAACAAAATGAACATGGCTTGGCTGTTTAATAGTCTCTGATTAAGATCATAGTTGTAGGTGATTGAGGAAAGGGTATCCCCCTCCCTTCCTGCCCCAGGCTTCTAAATTTTTTTTCCCATAAGTTTAAATATCTTTCTATGGCATGTTTACAGTGTACATGTATTCTATTAAAAGCCAAAATTTTTTTTTACTGAAAACAGATACTATTCTGTTGAATATACACAGCGATGATTAATTGTCATTTTTCAAACTTTTTGTATTGAAAATGTTGTAAGTATGTTAAAAAAAAATATAATTTAGGAAAATAAAGTGAAACTGGGATTGGAAATTTGTGCCAGGTCCATACTATCAGCTCTCCCACCCCCCTCACGCTTTTCTGAGAATAGGGTAATCTTTTGCTGGAAATTTAGGATGGAAATTTTCAAGCAAAGGCCAGTTGCCCCCTTCCCCTTTTTGATGCAGTATGATCAAATTCCTCTAAACAAGTGTACTCAAAAATTTATTTGCCAAAAAAAGTTTGGGCAATATTCTGTTTAAATTTGTTTGCTTGTAATACTAATAATTTCCCCCCTTCCCCCCATCTCCTTTGAAAAAATGATGCTATGTCTCTCTTGTGAATTTACTTACAAATTAAGCTTTTGACAATACACCTCTAATGGTATTATCTTCATTAAACAGAATTGCTCAATATTGCATATTTATCTCTACTTACGTTACAGTAAGAGTAGCGTTTAACAATAGGACACCATTCTTTGCCCAGCTCTCTAAGTTTCCATGATCTGGGGTTTTGAATCCTTTGATGTCTGGGTCCTTTTCCAGCTCCTTGTAAATATTAACTAATGATGGAGGTACTTTAACTCCCTTTGGTACAGAGAATGAAAGTCCCATAGCCTGGTAAATTATTAGGTAAAATCAAAAAATTTTATATAAAAAAATAACATTTTTCAATAAGTCCCACAACTTCAATAACTAAGAAATCAATATGTTGAAAATAAGTTAATAATTTAAATATTTAAATATTTAATTTATATGTAGCAGTCCTACTAGTATGTGTTAAGTAATTTGGTTACCAAAATATTTAAAATATGAAGTACTTCCAACAAGCATTTTGTAATTATTTTAGGGTTGTACACACCTGCCCATCATCATGGTAGGGATCCTGTCCTAGTATTACAACTTTAATCTGAAATACAGTAAGATTTTCACCAATTATTTTGACATCTCTGTTTCTGACCAACAACAAGATGGCATAAGTGAAGAGCCTATTGGCATGGTAGTAGAAAATACCAGTAACCACCAAGGAAATGGTGTAAAATTAAGCTACCATTTAGCGGGAATTTTTAGCGGAGTGCAAACTCTGGCTTATTTTAGCAGTTTTGAAATACACTGCAAAAATTTTAATCGCTAAATTTGCACTCTTGCGTATAAGTACTGAAGAGAAGAAACTTTAAGATTACTTTGATCAGACTTTTGTTTAACAATTTACCCTTTATCTGGTATTGGTTTTTACTCAAAGTTTTGCCTAAATTGGTATTCAAACGTATATCAAATACTGAAAACTCATCTAGAAGATGAATTTCCTTTCTTTTTCATGGTACTATGTGTCTGCCATGGTACTCTGTGTCCACAAAAAAAAATTCCGCAAAAATTATTGTCATACCTTTAAGCAAGCAAGACACCAAATTTTACGCCCACTAAAGAAACCCAATTAACAGTATATACTTTTCACACTTCTCCAAATTCTTTAATATTGAGCATATGTAACAGTTTACAGCACATCATTGTTTACAGCATACATCACTTTGTACAACATGTCATTGTTTGTAGAATGTCATCTTTACAGCATGTCACTGTTTACAGCTAGCATATGTCATTGTTAAAAGCATTATACATCTGGTTACAACGTAAATCAATACATTGTACAACAAATGTGATTATTTACAGCAAATACCTTTGTTTACAGCCTTATATATCATTGATTGCAACATATTTCAATAATTACAGTATATGTCATTATTCACGACATATGCTGTTTACAGATCATGTCATCATTAACAGCATAAGTCATTTAAAACATGTCATTACTTATAGTTTATGTCATTGTTTAAAACATGTCAATGTTTTTGGCAAATGTCATTGTTTATGGCATGTCATTTTCTAAGACATGTGACAGCCACTGTCTACAGCATATTTCACTACTTACAACATATCATGTTTAACTATATGTCACTGTTTACAGCATATCACTCTTAATTACAGCATATGTCACTTTTACATTTGTTTCCCTTTTTACTACATGTAATTGTTCACAGCTTATATTTCTGTTTACAGCATACGAGGGGTGATCTCTACATTTACAAAACCACAATTCAGATCAGAATGAAATTTGGCACACATATAGTCATACGAACTTGAATCCCTTTAACCCAAGATACTTTGTAGCAAGTTTGGTTGAAATTGGCCCAGCGGTTCTTGAGAAGAAGGTCGAAAATGTGAAAAGTTTACAGACAGACGGACAGCTGGACAGCTAGACAAACAGACAGCTAGACAGACAGATGCCAGACAAAATGTGATCAGAAAAGCTCACTTGAGCCTTTGGGTCAGGTGAGCTAAAAACCATTCTCGTTAGCAATAGAAAGTTAACAATGATGCTGAGTTATGATTCATTTAATACCTGATCAAGTGGAGTCATGTTGAGAGCATTGAATATAAGGTCTTTACGTGGAAATACACTGTCTCCTTTTTTATAATGATCTGCTACTTTGGTTTGGAGTTCCTTGATATAGTCCTTATCCATTTCTTCTGATAGCGCCTTTCTCCACTTTTCATTTGAGATGAGGTCCCTCAGGGAAAAACTGCCAACAGCACCTACAAGATCAAAATCAGGTAATTTTTCTTAGTCATATATACAATTTATTTAGCATGTAAGAAATGATGTGAAGCTTTTCTACTCTCTAGTATAGCTGTCATGCAGGTTTGGTTGTTGGTGGCCAGACAGCTCAGTTGGTAGAGCACCTGACTAAAGATCCAGCGAACAAGGGTTTGAATCTCGGTCTTGTTCCATTGCTGCTCCTTGCTGGTCATGTCATTGACTAGTGCTTTTCTTAAAACCAGGCATAAACATATCACTTTTCAAAATGTGTCTCCTTCAGATCATTTGTAATAAAAGTTCTGATTGTTTGAGGGCTATATAAACAAATTTGAATGGAGACCAATACTAACTCGAGATAATGATTGGTAATAACTCAGCTCAATGTGAAGAATCATATCATCCATTCCATGTCCCAAGGTAATTAATGTACATGTAACCATTTACCGAACCAAACACAACCAGAGATATTTGAGAATGGTAAGTCAGACTTAGCTGTAGATCTATCAGGAGTCCTTCATGTAAGTGTCCTAGGTCCAACACTTTCCCTACTGTACATCAATGATCTTCCGGAATACATAAAGAACAGATCATATCAGGCAGACAATTTGCTGATGCCTGGATTGTTTACAGATGCTTAAATACACTTTAAGAAGCAGACCTTCTCCAAGAAGTTCTGGAGGCTCTCCAAAGTGGGGAAAAAGATTGGCTCATGGAATTCCACCCCCAGAAATGCCTATATAAGTACTACATATTTCCAACAAAAGACGGACAATAAAACATCAATACACCATCTGGACACATCATGGAGATAGTGGAATCAGCAAAAATATCTAGGTGTAAACATCCAGGGTAAACTAAACTGGAACTTTCATACGAAACAGGTGATAAAGAAAGCAAACAACACCAGAGTTTTTCTTCAATGAAACATCTACATTTGCCTTAAGAAGACCAAGGAGTTGTGTTATAAAACCCTGGTATGACCACATATGAAGTATACAGTAAAACATGCTTATAACAAAGTGCCGGGGACAGACGATTTTGCTTAGCTAAGCTTAATTGGTTACATCAGTTTACAATATTTTTGAAGTCACAGGGAATGAAAAGCACTTTGCTGTAAGTGTCAATTCATTATAAGCGTGTTCACTATAAGCATGTTTTACTGTACACTGTACCAGTGTGCAACTTTTTGTACATGCTGAAAAATAACATATTTAAGGGGAAAAAATATTAAAAATATCTAAATCAAGTTTTTCGGAATAACTTGATAAAGCTATATAGCTAATTCAAAGTATATAGCTAAATCAAGAGATCCCTGAACCTGATGAAGGTAGAGCCTAACGCTTGCTGTACCTGAGTCTGATTTTTTAGAGGTGACAACTGATTTCTTTTGCTTAGCTTGTTTACGTTTTGGAGACTTGTCAACATTTTTGGTGTCTAGTTTCTGTCGTTTTGCGGTATCATCTTTTACAGCTGCTTGTTTACGTTTGCCTGGCATTTTTGAGGATAGAAATTTGCAAACGAAACCGGAAGTGCCAAAGAACAGCGCTTGGTAATGCGCTGAAAAATCAAGTTCTCTAAATGAATGTAAAACACAAGAATATGTGGCAATCATACAGAATTCGTGTTTATTTGAATTATAAAATTCATTTTTTGGGTTTATTAAGTTTAACATTAAGGATAAAAACTTTCCAAGTAATAATTATTAAAATACTGCGTAGAAAAATACTTACCATTGTTTACTTCCGGAAAGCCGCCAAGATAAAGAATTTCAAAGAGAAACGCCTTGAATCATACAGTATTTTGAGGTATTTTTGTGCTTATTTAGCTCAGTTTGTACTTGAAAAGTATTCATCTTTTTGCAAGACACGATAATGAATCCGTGCATTGTTACATTTTAAAATGAAGCACTCTTACACCAGACTGTCCAGCTTCACTCAATGCAGTACCAGATTATTCTGATTATGAAATTTAGAAGAAAAAAATGTATATTTATCTAGATAAAACTTTTACATATAAATGCCAATGTGGAAAGCATCGTTCAAGGTGTGTGTAGCATTTTATATGATTCTACGTTAAAATTTCAAGGATGTTTAGTATTTGCATTTAAACAGGTCCAGTACAATCTCTTGATTTAGCTATATAGCTTTATTTAGATATATAGCTTTATTAAGCTATTCAGAATAGCTTAATTTAGCTATTTTATCACACTTTTTTCTTAAATGTGTAATTTTCTAAGCAGGTACAAAAAGTCGCACCTTGGTGCAGTGATGATATTCAACCTTGAACACTTCTGAACTTGATGCATGTAAAAATCACTCATTAAATTGTGTCTCCTTGAGAGACTTTGTACTCAAAGTTCTAAGAGTTTTGGGGCTATATAACACAATTGATACAGTTACTTCTTCAATGAAATTATAAAGGAGGCCAATTATGGTCAACAAGATAATTGATTGGTAATAATTCAGTACAATGAGAAGCAATCATACTTATCCATGCCTCAACGCACACCAAGGTAGTGGACAGTTACTCAAACAATAGAAATTTATCTTTTGCTTAAAAGTATTCAAAAGCTGCAAAGATAAAACTATCTTTGATTTTGGTTGTTGTTTTGATAGCCCATAGTACATATATGAATAGTCAAATACATGTGACTTTTTGTCTATTTTATACAAGAAAAATTTTTGTGAAAAACTGCATATAAATAGCTAAATCAAGCTATTTTGAATAACTTAATAAAGCTATATAGCTACTTCAAGCTATATAGCTAAATAAAGAGATTGTACTGGACCTGTTAAACTCAAAACTGACCCAAGTTGATACGTGCACTATATGGTTTGTAAGACCGCAGAACATTAACTGGCAAAATTGGAAATATGCAGCTTACGTCATTTCCATCTGTTTCAGTCGATACATTTAATGATAGACAATGAAATGGGCAAGTACAATTCGACACGGACGTCCAAGAAAACATTGGATTGAAATTGTAGTTTGAAATTCATTTTCAATCCACCTGAGCTTGTTTTCAAACCTGTGTGAATGTATGATCCAAAAGACAAATAATTTCAATTCACAAATACACGTTGTTTGAAATTCATCTTTATATGATTTTTTTAGCTTATAATTCTAAGGACACGTAAAAGTAATAGAAGGCAGAGATTATTTTTTCAGGGGACGGCCATTTGATTCTAGAAGGGGGGGATGTTGTCAAAAATCATGCCTTCACATGACAAAATATATTAATTTCTAGGATGACAAGGGGTTACTTTTTTTTAGTTTTGCTTTCACTGAAAAATAGACAAACAAAAACAAGTTGCAGGGAGGGGTTTCCAAAATAAAAGAAAACTTTCTTATTTATTTCCAAGATCTTTCGCCCCCCCCCCCCCTCCTCCCGACACACACATACATATACCAAACAGAAATCAAATATTTGTCCCTTTATATTTCTTTCAAAACACTTGACAGAAAATTCTGATTTATATAAATTTCAAACTATTCCGAAATTGAAATTATTTGTCTTCTGGGTCAATCAGTAGCACCGTGTGTTCTAGAGTAGCTGAGGTGGATTGAAAATGAATATAAAACTAGAATTTCAATCCAATGTTTTCTCGGACGTCCGTGTCGAATTGTACTTGCCCATTTCATTGTCTGTCATTAAATGTTTTGACTGTAACAGATGGAAATGACGTAAGCTGTATATTTCCAATTTTGCCAATTAATGTTCCGCGGTCTTATTATATTTTGTTAAAGTGTACTTGTTTATAACAGTTTATACAAAAAAGAATAATTATTTTAGGAATGACTCTAATTCTTGGCCAAATTATTCGAGGATAACCTGGTTTGGGTCAGTTTACGCTGTTTTATAATCCGCGAAGTAGAGTCATTCCTTATAATTTAATTCTAAAATCATTTAACAACTCTGGGTGTAAAATTTCGTTGCTTTTTATTAGTTCAAATTTGCCGCTCAATAATACAACCCTAGTAACGGAAGTGATGGGAAGCGAGGGGAGGTAAAAACTGATACATAGTCCTAGCAGCCATGTTTTTTGTTTACATGTGGTAAGATCCGAGTTACTGTTTGAAGTTAAAGGTACATTTATTAAATCTGGAATTTTCCATGAATCCCGAGGACTGGAAATGAGAGGATTGCATGGATACAGACGATTCAGCTGGTTGTCAGGGGGGTGTGTCCCCATACCAAACCAGGTTATACAGAAATAGTTTGTGTTCCTTTTTGGATATTAACCAATCAGAGGCTAGAATACAAACAAAATTAAATTATAAGGTATTATCAAATATCTAAATTCTAATTTGTTCAATTTATTTAATTGTTAAATACACAGGTATTTGGTCTTTGTTTATAAATATGTAACTATATACCATTTTACATAGTTAGAATAATCTAACTGTCTGTCAGAACAAGCCATCACCACAGTTAAATTACGTCCCATGTACTTGCTATGTAGCAAATCGGAGCGGATCCACTCCGAAATGATTTTGAAGAATACAAAAGGAGTTGCACTGAAAATAAGTACCAAATTAATCATAACAAACCTTTTTGAGATTGTATATGCCTTTAAACCTAAAAAATTATTCATATTTTGATGTCCAGGTTTGGGAATCTGGATGAAATGAACAAAATTTTAAGAAACTTAGCAAAAACTTTATTATAATTGATAGGGCTGTGCGGTGCACCGCGGTTGATACTGTTCGATTCGGTGCACCGATCCAGAATTCCAGATTTCGGTTCGGTTCAAAATATATATAACACATATAAACAAAAATGACCACCAATATTGGAGATCGGAAATGTTTGTTTTTATGATTTTAATACTTTTTAAAATGATTGTGCCAGTTTGAAGTCAGTGATTTAGTTTTTTAATTCCTTAAATGTCTTTTCCTTTTATAATAGAGGTTAGTTTACATTGGTATGGGCTAGTAAATAGCCTGACGGGCTAGTGAGAAAGTAGCAGGTATTTTCCAAAATCAATGAAAAAATTCAAAGTGTGGTTCTCTTATTCATAAATCTCATCTATCTAATTCTTTTGGCACTCTACATTATTCATTTCTAAAGACCATGAAAAAGATCATCTTTTTTTACTAATCCGAATTTCCTCCATCCCGATTTTATGGAAAATGCATGAAGGTATCACATTAATTGATTAAATTATTTACAACAACTCAACTGATTAACTGAAGAGTAAATATCTACAAGGGTTATTAAAAATATATTAACATTGTATTTGATAATTTGAATTAAAAAAAAAATAAATCACTAGCTTTCACTTCATTTTGGTAGAGGAAGTCCAATGATCAGAAAAAAAATGTATACTTCTTTGTTAGAATGTATCCAAAACATGATTGTTCATTATATTAAATTCAGCATTAAATAATTTCTCTGATTATTCACTTATTAATGACTCAGAAGAAAAATGCAAATAGAGAAAATAAGCAGAAGAAAAATGAAAAGAATAGTAATTCATTATGAAATGTAAATGTAATAAAATAATACTGTAACAACAAAAGTTTCAGATTTTATTATGTTTCTGGGTTAGTACTTTTGCCAGTAAAAATATCAGATCCACTAGCCCCACTTGTTAGTGTCTCAGAAAAGTTTTAGTGAGGACTGAAGTAAAGGAGTTTAATCAGTTTATAAAGCAGAGATTATTATTTTACATTAATGATGAGAAATATTTGGACTGTTTAAGGTTAAATCGAACCGAATCGAAAAAAAAACGAACCATATCATTCTGAACCGAAACCGTACCGAATCGATTAAACCCTGAATCGTCCCAGCCCTAATAATTGATCTATTCGCTGATTTTAAGTTCAGAATAATTGAGTTAAAGATCAATTTTATTCATCGTAAGTGTTTATTTCTTGGAAAACATCATGCAAGAAATTTCCCAATAAGCATAATAAGTGATAAAATGTTGTAACAAAACTCCTTTGGTATTCTTCAAAATCATTTTGGAGCAGATCCGCTCCGATTTGCTACATTGCAAGTATATGGGATATATTCTAACTGTGATGAGGGCTTGTCCCAAAACACAGTTAGATTATTCTTACAATCTTCAGGAGAGCTGTCGAGGACAGAAAGTGAAACCTTGGAGTTTTTTATAACAAGAATTTAGTTTAATTCCCAATTCCTAAGGCCTGGGACCCTTTCCCAAAATGGAGTGGAAAATCCCTGTGATTCTTTTGCTAACCCCAAAGGCCACAAAAATTCATGATTGGAGGTTATTGCTGAGAGGCAATATTAGTCAAATAACATATTGAGATGTTATGCCTTTTCATTGCTATCATATAAAAGCAAGTTTTTCAAGATTGTGCACATTTAGAGCTGAGTATAGAAGTACCTTAGCAGGCAACTTTAATACAACAGTTAAACGTTAAAACATTAAAATTTGATGATTACAGAAAATGACAGGTCGGGTTATAATAGTGACTGGAGCCAATTGTGGGATTGGATTTGAAGCCGCAAAAAAGCTGTGTGAGGCAGGAAATGATGTCATTCTGGCCTGTAGGAGTGAAGAAAATGGCAAAGCTGCTGTCGAAAAAATTCTGCAAGAGAACCCTAATGCTCTAGCAACATTTCTTCAGGTAAAGCACAAAAATGTTAATTCTTTCAAAGCAAATGAAAATTTTCATCACATAATTGTTGTCTTAAGAAATAAGTATTATTACATTTGTAAGTTATGTAAATATCTTGTTAATTCATTCAAGTGATGCACATCTCTACCGCATTTGCGCAGATTAAGATGCATAATTTTAGTTGTATTGATATGTTTTGAATCCTGCAAGAAATATGTATTGCTGCTGACAAAAACTTATTTGCTTTGTTACTGTTGTTTTTACAGTTAGATTTGGCAGATCTTGCCTCCATTAGAAAGTTTGTGGAAGACTTTCATGCACTGGGCAAAAAACTGAATGTCCTTGTCAACAATGCTGGAATATTTTTGAAAATGAGCGACAGAGTTAGGAAATTTACCAAGGATAACTTTGAGCTGACCATGGGAACTAACTACTTAGGTAGTACTGAAAATAGATTTATGGTCATTTGACTTTGGGGACAAAATATTTAATAATTAGATAAAACAAAAATACCTGTATACATAGAAACTTGACTTTTGATTAGATTAGGCCAGCAATAAAAATGATTTGTTTGACATACTCCGACTGATTTGTCAAAATCACCCATTACCCAATCTTTTTCAGTACTTTAAATTTCATAATTTTTATTTTAGTATTCAGAAAAACACTTCCTGTCCATATCAGTTTAAAAGTTTATCATTTCTCAAGAATGCCTTTTAGTTTCAAAGTTTTTAAATATTTAATCATTCTAACTGTCTCATATATACATGTACATTGTAATAAAAACAACTATAAATTTCTAATTCTGGGATTTTAATGAGGACTATCAATGTGTAGGATTAAAAAAAAAAAATAGAAACTACCTACCTGTCAATATTGAAAAAAGTGGGTTGGAGTACATCCCCCCCCCCCCCCCCAAAAAAAATATGGCCTTATTAGACTGAATTTGCTTTTTTATCAGCATAAACATACATGTTGCTTGTTTGTTGTTCTCATTATTTTTCCTAATAATTTATTACATGCTTAAGTAATTGAATCAAGATTGCTCTTGAGAATCTTATTTATGGTGCTTTATCCCCCCCCCCCCCCCCATTTTTCCTGAATAATTGTTTTATAGTTGCATGCACATTATTTAACTTGAAAAAAAGTTCACTCAATGGACATCAACTGGAAGCATACTGTATGTTCATTGGACATCAAGAAATTGACTCTCTGATCATGTTGATTGGGTTTCTTCAATAGCACCATTTCCATCTTGCTCAGACTTTGAAGGTTTCTACAGAACTACTTTTTGCTCTATCACAGAAGAACTTTAAATGGCAGAATACTGTATGTACATGTACATATATTGATTCAACAGGTCCATTTCTTCTGACACACCTCCTGTTGGATGATTTGAAGAAAACAGCAAGTGAAAATGGAGACAGTCGTATTGTGATGGTAGCATCAACATTACATGATATAAATGACAGAGGCAATAGGGGTGGTTAGTATGTAATATACATGTACAGCTGAAAAGTACCTAAAGATATATCCTGTGCAGTTTTTCAAAAGGTTTAATAAATTTTGTTTAAAAAACCCTAAAAAAAAAATAATGATAATAAAAAGAGTGAAGACATGTATTGTAGAAGCAATAAATGTTTTAACTTTTCAGGTGTAAAACCTTTTGACCTTGAAAATTTCTTCCTGGAAAAGGATGGAACGTACAATGGACATCAGGCCTATAAAAACTCTAAACTTGCCATGGTGATGAGTACACACTCCCTGGCCCGTAAGCTGGAGGGGACAGGGGTCAGTGTTAACTGCATGTGTCCAGGTATGTTCAAAGATAAACAGGGGGATAATAGCAAGGTCGGAGGCTAGCTGTTAAAATTTCAAAAACAATTGCTGAAAATGGATTTCAAAAACAATTGCTGAAAATGTGTTTACTAAAATGCCATTTTTCATTTACCCCCCCCCCCCCCCCCCCAAAAAAAAAATCTTGAAAAATCTCTTCTTCTTTGACAAAAGTACATGTATGATAAAGCAAGTAGAAATGAATAGTATGAATGACCTTTGACCTTTAAGATTTCACTTCTTTTTCAATATTTCTCTGTAGGTTTCATTCCATCTACCCAGCTGTCCAGACATGCTTCTTCAGCTTCCAGATTTATGTTGAAGTATATAATGGGGCCAGTCTTCAAGGTCGCAAAGATTTCAAGGACAGTTGACCATGGCAGCAAAATGATTGTGGAGCTCAGTGTCAATGAGAAATATAAAGGTTATTCTTCACTCTTTCAGGAACTTTTTTTTTAGTAAAAAAATATTAAATATTTTAAAATTTTCTTAATAAATTATGTTTGTGTTAAATTTTTAGCTAATTTAAAATGTGATATCAAGGTTGTAAATAACATTTAAACCTTAGGGGCCATGTGGGCCCCCATGTACACATAAAAGTTGTAGATGAGTTTTCACTCACAAATTTTTGTGTCCTTTAAATATACAAATACACCATGGCTTGGTTATACAGTAAAACTTGTTGAATCCGGATGTTGTGCATTCCGGCATTTTGTTCAGTCCGGTGTAATATTTTAGTCCCTTGAACTTTTTTTATAGTTTATGTTTAATAAATGTGTTCAATCCGGATCTTGCCTTTTCTGTAAACCGGCCGCTATTTAAAGAACTAACTGCTCATAATTAGTACAAATTACCTTCTCTAATCCGGCCACTTATTTTTACCTGTGCCCGCTGGTCATTAGAGAAGTCTTGCGTTGGGAAAATATTGTCCCGTTAATGATCTATCCTGTATCAACAGTTTAGATTTTAACAAACGTGATAAAAAAAATCATTTATGGCTCAAGTAAGGCGAGGAAACTAGCAAAGGAACGAGTGAAAGTGATGGTTGCGTGTAGCATGTCTGAAGAAAAAACTTCGAGACTTATTCATGACCTCCTTTCTACTTTCGTTTTGCATGCACAACGTGCAATTCGAATTATTTCCCTTTGTGTCGCTAGTTTACAGCAACCATAACGACAGAAGATTTTGGTCAATATTCATTATAACATTAACATTCATTATAATATTCATTATAACAATTAACAAATACAGTGTCTAAATATTTATTTAGGAATCTGTCCTTAAAAAATAATATTTACAGCTACAATGAGGTTTTGGAGTGTGTTTAAAACATCTAACGATTTTCAAATTTAATGAATGACCAACAGATAACATATTTCGTTACTGAATAAAAAACTTAAACAGAAATGAAAATTCTTAAGAGCAAACAGAGTTCAAAACAAACGAAATAGACAAATTTTTCAAGTGAAACGTAAAAAATGACACATTTGATCAAGTATTTATTTACCACTCTTTGTTTATATCTATGTGAACTTGCTATTCAATTTTCTCTAGGGATGTCAACGAATAGTCGACTATTCGACTGTCAGTCGAATGGACCGACGATCGAATAATGAAACGACATTCGAATATTATAATTTTAAAAATGCAATTAAAGAGTGATAACAATATCGAATTCTCATAACAAAATTGAGAAACCGTCTTTTCTCGGAGACAGTTGATAAGATAATTAAACTTGATTTTTCATGTGTTTATAGAAAGTACAGTAATTATAAATGCTTCACTACCACGAGAATTATCTGTCAGTTACTGCTTGTGTTGTTTTTGTAATAAATCAACCAACAATATATTTACTGGGCTTTGTTTGTAAAACAATTAATTGGACTTGATTTTATACGATGTACCAATTATCTTTTAAAATTACTCAAACGCAAGGAACAAACCATAGCTGTAACATGTTTTGTCGCTTCAATAATTATTAAAACAATTCGCTTGCATTTTTAAACTGTTTATATAATTAAGGACATTCTGAAAACCAGAGCAATCAATTAATGAACAAACAGTTACTAACTGTTTAACAATTTAACAACCACCTGGCATTTGGATAGTGTGAAATTACCCCCCCCCCCCCAATTTATTTCATAATAAGCTTTAAAAAATATCGGCTAGCAATTTTTGAATGCTCACTCTGCATGTACAGACCAATTTATGAATTCGATTGAAGGGGAAATCATAAATTTTGGAGAATTATATTTCTAAATTTATTTCATATAATCATGCTATCAAATGTATTGCATTAATTCTTATGTTACTTTTTAAACATATTTAAGTTAAAGGGTTTTTGAGTTGTAAATACGTCATGTACCAGTGAAGTTTGAAATAATATTTTATTTTCAGAAAATGTTCCGAATAATCGACTATCGTTCGAATAATGGAATCGAATAATCGACTAAGGAAAATAAATATTTTGACATCCCTAATTTTCTCCAATCCAGATGTTGTCTAATCCGGCCAAAAATTTTGGAACCACTGGTGGCCGGATTAGACAAGTTTTACTGTATATAAAAAAAATGAATGTACAAAGCATCTTTACTAAGAGACATGATTTTTCACACAGATGTTTCAGGGAAATATTTCAAAGACTTTGAAGCCGCGGAATCTTCAGAAGAGTCACGGAATGAGGAAGTCCAGGGACAGCTGTATGAGTTATCTGCCCGCTACTGCCACCTGGAGGGTTATGAACCATTGGATGCCCCCGCCCCACCTCCACCAGAGGAGAAACCTGTCAAGTCCAAAAAGGTCAAAACACCCAAGAAAGAGAAAAAAGAAGAGGAGAAAGTTGTAGAAGATAAAACAGTAAAGGAAGAAGGAGAGAAGAAAGGTTTGTGTTGGGATCAGTAAAAATGAAAGTTAAGGTTGATTGACCCTCTGATAACAGAGGTAACTTTCACTGGGATAAATGACATTCCCTTATAAAATTTTCAAGTTAAATACCATTTCTGTCAGAGTTTGCCATAAAGGTATGCTGAAATTGTGTGCATTTTAACCTATTAGATTTCTTTTGGAAATCATTACAGTTGAGGCGTAATGACCCTCTTCTCTGAATTTCACAATTTTTTTTTAAGTCTTCCTAACATTGATTTTCATCAAAAACTATAGCATTAGATTCTAATGGAAAAAAGTATGAGGTATATGAAGCAGTACTTATTTTTTCAGAAATGATTTTTATATCAGATGATATGAAGACATGTTTACACAGGGAATAGGAAGAGTAATAATTTTTTATCACAACATAAAATAAAAAAATTAAGGTGCATATGAAAATAATATTTCAGGGTTCAACACTAACATTTTTAGGCTTTAGTATGGCCGGACTAGTGCTTCTTTACTTTAACTAGTCCGCACGCGATTTTATGAGTCCGTAAAAAAACACGCACACACACACCAATGTTTTGTAACCCGTTAAAAATTAAACATTGCAATGTACTTTTTATACTTTTTATGAAATAAACAAAGCATTTATGTGAAATGTTTTATTCCAAGATTCGTTTAAACCTCGCAATCAGGAACTACGATTGTATTCCTGATCTTGTTCGTTTTCTCTATACATTACATCCAAACGTCCAACATCTTTCTTTATATGTCATACTAAATCATGATTGCTAAAATGTTTGATTTCATACCAATCAGTCCTAAAATTGAGCGCAGAATTGACTCAGAATTACCTTACTTCCCGTCAAGAAGCTAGAAAGCTTAAAATACATGCGGGGTTTTCCAGTGAAAGTTGTCAAGAATCGAACATCGGTAATTTACTGATTTTTTTCCAGAAAATTTTATTAGTCCATTCAGACTAATTAGCCACAGATTTTATTAGTCCGAATGAAAATGTACTAGTCTGAGACTAACGTTAATGTCGAACCCTGTATTTTTTTGTCATACCTATTAAATTTACATTAGAAAACATAATAAAGTGTTGCTTCCTAAATCAGGAAAAACACAATGTTGTCTGTGCTTGTATGAATGGAATATATCCATTGGCAAGTTTTCTTAGAAATATTTGTTCCTTGAAATAAAGTAATTCTTCCTATGGTACATGATTCATTAATGCATTTTAAAAATTGTTCATAAAAATAGAACTGCTTCAGTTTGCAAGGGTAAAAAAACAGGATGTAAATATTTTATGTCAAATGTAATTAAAAAAAATTGTGAAAAATACAGGCAAATATAGATAGAAGTCAGTGTTTCCATCCTATGTTGGTTTGATTGAATTGACTATTCGTAGGTCTCCATTATTTAACTCTAGTAAGACAAACTATGGGTAGTATAAGGAATTTTTACTTGGGGAGTTATCTCTCTTATCAGAGGGTGAGTCCCCCTTAAAGCAAAATTTATATGAGTGAACAGAGGGATGATGAACTAAATATATGGTTGGTATTGTTAAAAATATTTGGGAAGAGAAATTTTTTTTAGGCATACAGGCATATTTTTTCTCAGCCAGAATTGTGGTGATTCTAAAGGTCACAACTTCTCATCTCACTGGATTAGTGGTAAAGGTCATTTAAAACATTTAGATTGGCGACCTCTGCAACTCTTTATGCTAGACTTGAATATAGTGCATGAGGAGGATGAGGAATTGCTCTCAGAAATAAATTCATTAATGAATAGGGTTTTAAATAGGATTTGTCAATTGAAAAAGGTGGTAGTCTAGCAAGTTTGTCCAATGTGGTGTTTTTTGATGATGTTTCATGACAGATATATCACAAACAGTGGTGTTAGTTGGTTTGCATATGTGAATATTTGTGAGTATTAGGCTCACCTACTTTGCATAGTTGGTCTTGTACGAGAAGCAAAACCCAATTATGTTAAAAAAAAAAGCCAAAGGAACAAACACTTTCCATGTTCAATGTCTTAGGGTTTGACTTGGCAACAAAAATTGACACAAAAGAGAAAACCTTTCCCTGGGCCTTGTGTGAGCTTTTCAATGTTTGTTTTATTCTGTATTTTATTTTATGAATACTGTTTTACAGAGGAACCAGAGGTGGCAGATGGCATCAAGTATGCAGATGAAGATGACAAATCAGAGGAAAAGACAGGGGAACCAGTCAAACCGAAGGAGAGTGAAGAACCAGGCAAAGAAAAAAAGACCGAGGAACCAGTCCAGGTGACCATCACAGTGGAGGATGTCTCGTCTGACAAACCGAGCACAGACGGAGAGGAGGTAAAGAAAACGGAGGACGAAGGGGAGGAAAAGAAGGAAGTTAAGGAGGAGACAGCTGGGAAAGGGGACGGAGTCGGTAAAACTGTGGAATCAGGGGAGATAACTGCAGAAATCACCGCTCAGGGATAGGAAACTGAAGAGAGTTTAACCATTTTTACGCAGTTTATGATGCATTTAGCCATCTCTACGCAATTTATGTGTTAAGCCATCTTCAAGCAATTTATGATGCATTTAGCCATCTTTACACAATTTATGATGTGTTGTGAGAACTTTCTGATGGGTAAAATATATGCTTTGCTTTATTAATTCCAAGGGCATTTAATTTTTTTGTTTAAATTTAACATTTGAAGGGTAGGCAAAATATTTCTCTGCATTTTATTTAAAGTAAATATGTATGAATATACCTTATATTTATTTTCCACAGAGTTGTACATTTGTAATCAATATTTATTTATACATTTTCAGTATATTTACTGTAATTTGTAAGCTATATTGACCTTGTTACAGCTCAAGATTTATGTCCTCTTCCAAATACTGGGTATACATTTTGAAAATATTTTTTTATACACTAAGAAAATGGGCCTTGTTATCATTTAATGAAATTTAAATGTAAATGTATGCTATGATAACATTTGATTAATTACTTATTCATCCAGACGTAACAATAGTGCCTTCCTGAAACCTGTTATTTTTTTATTTAAAAATTTTGAATTTTTATGAGAAAAAAATAACCAAAGCAAATTTGAATGTCCTCAAGAGATTTAGTTTTACTAGATTGTCTACTAGTCCCATGCTTTAAAACCATTTTGCTTTTTGGTTGAGAGTGTCAGAGTAGCCCTTAGCTATTCAGTAGAAATAAATTTTGGTACATGTATTTCTATGTGTTCAGTTTCTTATTTTTATCTTCCAAACCAGCCAACCAAATCCCTTGTTTATTCAATGCAATTGTTGATTTTTTTTAAGTCACCAATGGTTGTATATTTATTTTAACATGTTTTGTAAATTTTTTATAAACCTTTTTTTTTTTTTTTTTTTACACATAAACAATTCAGTCAGTTATATTGTATGGCATTAATATTTCTGCATTTTTTTGTTTTTGTTTTTTTTTTTTACTTATCTGTGTATCAGCATGATTATACAAGACAAACTACAAAGGGGTATAGCGATAAATCACCTGGACTTTTAATGTATAATATATTTTTTTGGTTGTTGCTGTTTTTATCTTTTCACTAATGATTTAATCTGTACATTATATGGCATTAATAGGTGCCCTTATCTAAGCATAATTGTCATTTTTCATTGGAGCATAAATAATTTTGCCATAAAGAAATATCTCAAAAACTTGAGGATAAATCTGTGTTCAGATTTTAAACTATGTTATTGTCCATTTTTAGTCGATGAATCTCATTAACATAGTTATTGTAATATTTGCTTAGTTTGTAATATATATGCTTTTACTGTAGTCCCTAGATCAAATAAAATAAAATTTGATTGTAAAAATTTCTCTATCTGTGTATTTTCTCTTAAAATGATGAAGAGGCTGATGACATAATGAGACAAACATGGGTGACATCATTTAATATGGGAATAGTACATGGGTATAATTTGACTGTACTCCAGTATGTATAGGTTCACAGCAAGATCCGAGGCTCTTTAGTTGGAGTAGGTTCAACCAATGCTGAGGGATTACTGTTAGCAGGGTAGATTAACCAGTGGATAAGTTTTACCAAGGTTTCAAGCAACCAAGATAGGGAAGTGTAGTTTATTAGACATCCATGCAGAAAAAAGTGAAGTTAAAGGTAGTTCAAAGTCTAGATTTATATTCTGTTCAGTAATATTATACTGTGGCTACATTTTAAGAGACGTTGAAGTCATAAATAGGGGAAGACATGCAGTTCAGAATAGAGCAAACAAATTGAATTAGTTTAGTGTTATGAATATACGGCAGAAAAAGGTGTGATAATTTTTAATTTCATTCACCCATGAATGGAGATATCCAGGCAAGTAGTTTTTAACTCTCCACAGAGAAGTTTGTGTGTGTGTGTGGGGGGGGGGGGGGGGGTAAAGTAATATGTTGGCAACATAGGTTAAAGGTTTTTGTGAGCAGGTTTCAGTTTTTGGAGCAGGTCTCATTTCCAAGTAACTATAAGCCCTATATTGACCAGTTAATGTTTTTGGAGCAGGTATCATTTACAAGTAACTATAAGTCCTATATTGACCAAATTTGCATGGATGATACATCTATAAGGATTGCTTTGTGTGTTGGATCTGACCTACATTTTCCACATGAGTGACCAGGTTAAAGTTTTTGGAGCAGGTTCATTCTAAGGTAACTTTAAAGATATACACGCTATAACTTGCGTCAGTTAAAAATAAAGATGGAAATTTATTTATTTTGTTTACCAAATAAAGTTACGAAAATATTGTAAAATTACACAATTGGAAATGAACGCATTATAAAGATCTCAAATTATAATTATTTATTATCCTACTAGGAAAGTAATGCCTCTATTTAAATTCATGCATCATGTGACACCGTCGCTACTTTTAGATTGATAAACAAAAGTGGCGTCAAGAAAACGAGGTAGGCCGTTTGGTATACAAAATAACTTGAGACATGGATTGCGTACGTTTTATGCTTAAAGATACTTATCTTTGAAAACAACCAGTATTAACCATCCACTCTGTAATGACAGATATTAACTTTTATTCAAAATCGTAGTCAAAATGCAACGAACCTCGTCTATGATTTCCCGTGGACATGCATGTCTATACTGTTTACGCACTTCCTTCATCAATATTCATGAATAGGCTGAATTCTTAATCGCAGATCTTTCTTAATTGTTTTGTAGTTAAAACGACTTATTTAGTAAAACTTTGTGGAAAGTAATTATTTTTTATTACACATCATGTTTCTCAAATCATTTAATCATTTTGTTTCACATAAAAATCGCGTTTATATAGCGTGTATATCTTTAAGGCCTATGTTGACCAACTTGCAAGGATGACACATCCTAGGATGCACACTCGAAAGCTGTGTTTGACCTACATTTTCTGGATGAGTGAACATGTTAAAGGTTTTTGGAGCAGACTCATCCCAGTGTAACTTCAAGCCCAACCTAGACCAAACTTAACTTCAAGCCTTACCTAGACCAAACCAGGCAAATGACGCCCTCGTGGCGCAGTCAGGCAGGAGCGTCTGCTCTAGAGTCGCGGAGTAAGGAGTTGATCCTTACGTCGAGGGTTCAAATCCCACTGTGGGGACCGGTCCTCCAGATGAGACTGTATAAACCGAGGTCCCTTGTCGCAGTAGGTGTCAGCACGAAAAAGATCCCTCACTGCTCAAAGGCCCTAAGTGCCGAGTATAGGTATAAATTTACAGCCCTCCATCGGCAAGTGATGGCGTCTCCATATGAGTGAAAAGTTCTCAAGAGGGACGTTAAACAACAAACAAATTATCACTCACAGACTTGCTTCATATTTTCTGGATACTGAGTAGCTTAAACTTTGAACAAATCCACTCCCAAGTTACTACTTCATATATATGACTTTTCTGCTTGCCAACTTAACAGGGGACCGCGTTTTCTAGATTGGGGGGGGGGGGGGAGTCCAAGGTCACTTTTAATTCCCATAGTATATACATTTTATAACGCTGCAAATTCCAGGGGGTCTTGGGGGGGGGGGGGGCAGACCCCCCCAAACCCCCTCTAGATCTGCGCATGGGGTCTATTCCGTTGAACAGTGAACTTTTGCTGAATATTTTTATTGGGTGTTGTTTAATGTTGTTAATTAATGTTAATGTTGTTTTGTGGAGAAAAGTGGGGAGATTTGCTCCCACCCACCCACCAGCAATTCTACAAGTAAGCCCCATTAGGTTCTGATACTCATGGTATAATGTACAGGTGCTTGGGGACAGGACCCCCCCCCCCCCCCCCAGGGCCCTTTGCCAACGATTTCAAAAGGCGAGGGGGGGGGGGGGGTAGCAACACTCCAAACAAACATTTATGGCTCCCTGAATTATTTTTCATGATTTTTTTTAAGCATTAATTTTGTTTATGTATAATGCACTATAAAAAATAAGCCATATGTTTCCAGAGTCTCTGGTCTCTGATGTAACCCCCCCCCCCCCCCAAAAAAAAAACCCTCTCTATTAATATCATTTGATGTACGTTATTTTATACATAGCTTAATTATTAATTGTGAATTTTTATAGTGCATTATACATCAACATATGCTTAAAAAAATAAATCATAAAAAATAACTCAGAAAGCCCAAAATTTATGGAGGGTGGGGATGGGTTGTGTTTCTGTCCCCTTGAAGCACCTGTTTTTATTGCGTACATTTTGCCTCTTGTCTTTTATACAATAAGCTTAACTCTGAGTGATTGCAAAGATCAATAATATGCACTGGTCATTATCCTTCAATAAATTACAAAAACAACAAATTTAAATAAATTCAGTCTAACTAAAATTAGACCTTTATTCCACTCCAACAAGATTGCTACACATTGCGATCTAGTTGGATCTAATTTTAATTTTTTTTCTGCTCTCACTAGAGGAAAGAGATCAAGGCATTCTTTGATTTTGATGCAAATTCTATTGTGTGAAATGGAAATAAAAATTATAATAATGGATTGCCAAGTCATTTTAATTGCAACACTTCTTTTGATGGAAATCTATAGCTTGAACTTGTTTTTTTTTTCCTTTAGTTTAAAAATTTGGTTTAGCAGAATAGAAATACTTTCCTTGTCATCTGAAATGTAGGAGAATATAGGTACCCCGTAATCTTCAGAATTTTAATGCCCCCGCCATAAAATGTTCGGGGGCATATAGTATAACCCTGTTCCGTCATTCCATCATCATTGACTTTCCGTTCATTATCTCGGCAACAGTTGTACACATTCAACTCAAATTTGACATATGGATAGATTGGGAATACGCAGGTAAAGTTTGAGTCAAGTTTGAATTTGGTCTTGGTTCGATGATTTTTGACAGTTATCCTCCTTGAACTTGGAAAAGATTTAAAAATTCACAATTTCTAATCATTATCTTGGCTACAAATGTGCAATTTGCAATTTGAAATTTTGGCTGTCCGAGGGGGCATTTATGGCGTTACCATACGTCATCTAGTTTGTGAAATAAAATCCTTGCCCTTTGGTCGTTGTTTTCATTCCCCAACAAAATCTATCATGGTACATGTACATTCTCTGACAATTCCTCAGAATTTTTTTTTTTATATTTTTGAAATAAAATATTTCTGAAATTAAGCACTGTTTACAGTTCAGTGCAGTCATTTAGGATACATAATATTCAAAATCACTTTTCATTTTTATTTGACTGCAAAAGGTGTAAATAAATTTTATGCCAGTAATTGACAGGAAGCAGTTTCAGTGACTGTGGCACAATTCATTCAATATACCTTGCATAAAGTAACCATGACTGGGAGTTTTTTTTTTTTTATCTCTGCATGATAGTGTAAAACAGGTCACTTCAAATGATTTGTTTTTGTGTGTTGCAGGTTGAGACATCTGAGTTGTGTCCCCTCCTTTGTCATAATGCCAGCTAGTGTAAAGCTGAGATTGATCAATGTACTCTAGGCTAACTTATGACTGTGCTCTAGGTCTGGTGTATTCCCAAGGGAATAGAGAGCCAACATATGTAGATACATGTAGTTTAGAAAGGTATTTATTCTTACTTTCTGTTTAATGAGATTGCATGACTAAATATTAATAAAATATATTAATCATATCTTAATGAATTCCATCTGTCCACCAAGGTTAACCTTTGATTTACCAATTAAAAAAAAAATACTGTTACACAGAGGAATTGTCCATTACAGAAAGACAACTATAGTTGTAGGGGTCCAATCACTATAAAACTATGAATCGATGCCATTGAACATTTATGTGGAAATTGGATATAATGTAGCGGGACCGAGCGTGCGGTCCTTTTTGCCATTTCAAATCCTCTTTAGACTTTATTAAAATCCTCAATATCCCATATGAATTTAAGCGGGATTAGCACATACCATTTCATGGTTGAATTCGACTTTTCCACTCGACGAGCAGAGTTTTGACGCTGTTTACGGAGACTAAAGAAAATAATGACAAGCATGTCATATATGGTTGTGTAGATAAATTATCGTAGAAAACATAGGTATAAACAGTTTGTCAGTGTATTTCCTCTGAAAGTGTAAATGAGTTCGGTTCTGGGGGAGGGGGGTACTCCGCGTAATTCGGAGTTAGATACCTTGTGTTATTATTATACTATGGGTTAAAAATTTATTACCGAAACAAGTGCCTGTTGCAGCTCCGCTGGAGCTGCTAATCCCGGCAGCTACCGGGTAGCTACCGATTTACGGATAGCGTCTATTACGTAATCTATATACAAATATTTTTCCGCTTTACAACTCCCCCGGCTAAGATTTTGACCCCGTTCAAAATAAAATTACTGAATTCAAAGCAATTTATATACAAGTATACAACAAAATAAATATTCACATGCA